GAGTAGATGGAAGGTATTTGTGTAGGATGCATGTCAAGAGTGGGACTAAACAGGCCTTTAGTGGCAGCCACACTAAGCTTTCTGCCGGGCAGCGGGCATTCTTCCTCCATCCCCTATCCCATGAGCCTCTGCTGCTGGGACAAAGTCCTCTTTGTATGCCCATGGCTCTTGGCTAGAGCACACACAGCTTTGAAATTGCGTTTGAACGATGGGATTTTCATTTCTATCCCTCCTTTTCGTGCTCGCTCTCACCCCTCTTTGCTTTCACTCTGCACTGAGCTTCACCCCCCTAACCCTTCTCACCCACCCTCCCACCTCTCTCTTAGCAACTACTCGAGCGGGACAGTATTGCATTGACACCAACACTGTGCTTATTACCAGCTTGAGTTTCCAATAGCTTGAACAGGCTGCATCAGTTTCATTAAGAAATAGAACATCTAGAAGCTTCAGAGATTTTTTTTTGTATTTCTGATTTTAATTCTTTAAGGGTGGGTACAAGACCATTTCAAATGCACTCATATTTTGGATGTCCCACGACAGGATTTTTTGTTACCCTTCCTGCTCACTCCTTTATCATAAAATATAGTGAATCCTAAATCTCAATTTGTAATTAGCAATATATGTTATTGGTAAAATTCCAACATAAAAAGCTATAGTTTGAACATGCAGAAAAGTACAGAAAGTAGCAGATTGCCGCTGTATACACTTGGTGTCAGGTAGCTTTTCCTAGCTTGCACTGCTTGCTATTGTTTGCATGTAATTTTGGCCTTATAGGTATTTAAAGCTTGTTTTAACTGTTTACTGTAATCAGCATAAATCACTGTGGATATATGAGTGTCAGCTAAATGTGTGAAACGCACATGTAAATTATTTCACCTAAGGTGTTATTAAACAGGTTGCGGTGACTTAAGCTAGTTGCAGCTTGTGGAAGTGTGTGTGTGTGTGTGTGTGTGTGTGTGTGTGTGTGTGTGTGTGTGTGTGCCAGCAGACAGTTTATCCCCCACCTAGTAATCTTATAGCTGCTTCTCTGGCTCATACCTGCTGTTGTTGTTATTGTGCTGCAGGAAACATAATAGGGGGAAACTTCAAGCCTTCGCCTCATTTACTGTTTGGCCACTTACTGCTGGCTGAATGAGAGAATGAATGAATGACTCAATGTGGTGTGTATGCAAATGTTGAAATTTCATATCTGCAAAGGAAGGGAAAGATATAGACTCAGCACTTAGGTTAGCCTGCATTATTGTCCTTCCTCTGTGATTAATTTGTCATTTAGGAACAGTATAGCACATTATATAGCATGTAATTTACCTTCTCACCAGGTAGGTGGTCACTTTGTCAAACCCTGGTAACCATTTTATTTCTCTGGCTTTCTATGGCAAGTTCTTGTGCCCATCACAGTTTTTTACACGCCTTTTCAAATGCAAAACATTTTAAGATATCTTCAATATCTGTAGTCAAGGCTCTGGTGCCCCTGTATTAGCATGCTGTTATGTAATCAGATCAGGCAGCTTTGTTATTATCACTCACAAACAGACAGACACACACACACACACACACACACACACACACACAACACACACACACACATACATACTGTATATGTTTGTGTTTCTGTACTTGTGAGGACCCTCAGTGACATACCTTAACCCTGACCTTAACCATCACAACTACATGCCCATACTTTTAAGCCTGAAGACATGGAAGATATGGGGACCAGACAAAATGCCCTAATTTTCCAAAAAGGCATTCAAGTCAAAGTGGTCCTCACAAAGATAGATCTACAAGAGCACCCAAGACAGTAAGAACATCACATTAGTAATTTTGCCATGTATAGCATTACATTATATCCTTAGCCAATAAAGAACTTTTAAACAGTTAATATGTGTTGTATGCAAACTAATACCTCTAACACATACGTTATCATAGAAGTTACACAATTTCTTAACATGAAGTGTTAAAGGAACTGATCTAGGTGTTTCTGCACTTCCTCTCCTTATTTACATTACAACATTCAGATCATGGTTTATCGCTGTTTTGAATAAACCAAAGAAATCTGGCAGATGTGCTTACATGCCTGAATAAATCAAAAATACTCATTAGGAATCTAGGTTTTCAGCTCTCTTAAAATGATCAGATTACGGTATTTAAATGAAAGTTTCTGTCACTAGACTGGACTCCATTCCATGGAGGTATACAGAAAACATATCAGATTGCAGATTTTCTGAAACCTATTCATACTGATTATCATGGAATTTTTTTAATACACTAATTTGTAAGTCTAGAGTCATCAAAAATGAAAGGTTTGTATCTGAGACAGTAATAGCATTTCTATCTGGGATTCAGTCTTGCCTCCTCAGACAAAATGAAATCAGGAGTCCTAATGACATTAGTATTAACAGACCTTTTCAAGGCAGTCATTTGACTTGTCATAGTAAGCAAAACACTGGTATGATCAATAACATTAATGCTGCCTGTGATCCATTAAGGTGTTCTAGTTCCAGGGCTCAGATATTGTGTATGCGGGTTCACAAAGATTGAAATGCCATAAACACTTATGGTAAACCCACACTGGGGATATTGATTATTTTGCCTGACTGGGCATGTACCTACTGTTACCCAGACTCTTCTGTTAGTTTTGTTGCACTTACTGGGGCAAGTTACATTTGTATAATTTCTATTGATGCATTGAGTTTGGTGACTCCACGTAATTCCTAGCATAGCTTTGCCCTACTTACTAACCAGAAGTCTAGTCATCCAAAACAAACATGTGTAACCGTCCAGGAGCCGGTTGCACCAGCTGCTTGTAAGATCAAACCTAAGCTAGTTTGTACTGTAAATGTTTACGAGGTTTAGTTCTATGCATGAGTAAATTAAAACAGGTTGTGACGGTCCCCTGAGTGGCATTAATGTTTCCTCCTCCTTTTAAGGCAATCGGTAGTTGGGGGTTGGACCAATCGGCATAGCACCTGGGCCCGGTGTTTCCCAGCTATAAAAGCCCCGCCTCTCTGGCTGACGGTGGCTCTCTTTCTATCTTATTTATCATTTGTTTGTATTTCGGATTAGTTGGTGTTTTAACAATCCACATTTACTTTTCATTTATATATCACACTCATGGCATACACCACTTTCACTACTGATGGTACTGGACAAACATACCCTCATCTTCTATTTTAGTTTCTTTTTCGGGTTGCATTGTACGTTTAGGTGTTATGATCTAAATAAATTACTTCATTAATTTTGATCTTTCAACTGCGTCTCCTCGTTGTTTGTCACGGCTTCAGAGCCAGGTCGTGACAAGGTTGACACACAATCTAGTTCTTACGTAGAGATGAGTTGTTACTAAATATTTACACCCTCTAACTGCGAGTTGTAACTGTTGTGTATCTAACTGAAAAAAACGACAAAGTTAATGTTAGCTTGCTAATATGACCCGCTTGAATGAAGAGTCAAAGAGATAATATTGTGTACGGTCAACATATCCTGCTGTTTAATAATTATGTTAAGCTGAAGATTTTGAATTACATAACAAATTACATCTTTTGCACCAATAAAACTTTAATGTTGGGAAGTATTGCTAGCTTGTGATGCTACCATGACTTCCTGTTGTTATTTGTTCTTGATTAGACATCGATATAGATGTTTCAGCCAATTACACTTACTAAGTCTTTAGTAAATCACTAGTTTCAAACTTTACAGTTGCTTAGAACCTAGGAAGGACTTTACATTCAGACTTAATAATGGATTTATGAATAGCTGGTTCAACCCAATCCAGGGCCTTTGAATGGAAATGAGCCTTCAGTAATGTTATTAGTTATGCCTGTGCTATCCTGGCTATAATAACCATAAGATATCTGCTGTAAAAGTGTCTATTGGCTAAGGTTTGACTAAGCAGTATTTGCTTGTTAAAGGACGCTATTTAGTTCAAAATGAACTCAATGTACGTGGACATTGTTGGAAGCACTGTAAACAGTTTTAAAGCTTACTCTTGTGAAAAGTGATTTCACATCAGTCTCCATAATGCAGCAATTTGCAGCTTTTACATAGCAGCTGATTCCTCGAGCAGTGATGCCCTCATTTCACTTATGTGAGCATTTCCAGGAACAAACTGTAGCTCTAATGATGCCCCATGCGCTGGTCTTGTGTAGCTGTTTGCTGATAACAATAATCTTTGTGTACAGTTTTCTACATGCACGGGCCTGCTTTTCATGAAAGTGGGTACTGATTGTATGTGCGCTCATTCAGAGTTCAAATATTGTTTCCACTTGTAGGAACAAGCTATGATGGTGTTGACCATTTACAACATGTTTGAATAGCACTGAAAAGTCTAATTTATGTATCAGTCCTGTTGAAATTCTGTTTGTGTTGCTCTCTAAATATTCATGAGAAGACAAGGGAAGGAAAGCCAAGCCTCTGCTAAAGAATAGGCCAGTTTGTGAACCATTTCCTAATTGTTAATGAGGAGCTCCGGGGCAGCTTGCCAAGGCTGGAGGGCCAATGGTGAAGGCCTGTTTGAACAGAGGGGGCAGAGAGGGAGAAGGGGCTAGCTGTGGGGACACTGTCGCTGAGGGGACCCCTAAACCCCATCGGCCCCCTCCTACCTGTTTCACAAAGTGCTGGAGCAGGCAGCTGAGAGCGACTGTCACTTCCACCAGAGACTTTAATGAGGGTCTAGCTGCAGCTTTGGGACTCTGTGAGCTTGTGGAGCTTTCCGACTGCTATCTGAGGAGCAAACCCTGGGTCAGCTGATTTGGAGAGTAAAGGGGGGTTCACTGAGTTTTTAAAGATGTCCAACAACAACAATAACCAAGAGGAGAAAGAGGAAAAGGAAGAGGACACGGAGGAGAAAGGAGAGGAGGTCATGGTGAAAATCCCACCACCTCCACCTCCTCCTGAGGTCAACTGGAAGGGTCCAGCTGAGGAGGGGAAGCTGGTGCCCAAATCTTTGCCCAATGGGCACCATTGCCAGCCTATGAACCGCAGTATTTTTCCTCTTTCCACAGTCTCGCCGGCAGCCGAGAGGATCCGCTTCATCCTCGGGGAGGAGGATGACGGCCCGGCGCCCCCACAACTCTTCACTGAGCTGGATGAGCTTCTGTCGGTGGATGGACAGGAGATGGAGTGGAAGGAGACTGCCAGGTAAGGACATCAGTCTCAAGCTTGGGGCTTCCTCTCAAAGGACATGTATGTGCACCTTTTTGATTTTATAGTTGTAATGATGTTCAGAAACCTTCTCCATTGACATACAAAAATGTAGTGCAGTTGACTGTGAAAAGTCATCTACACAGCAAAATTATTGTTATTTTTATGTTGAGGGTATATTTGTTTCTTCAAGTTCACTGTTATTTCAGTGCTTTAAACAGCCATCCCAGACAGAGGTAAATAACTGAACAGACATTTTCAAACTTCAGCTACTATCAGTAGGGAATTTGCTATGTGCATTGAATTTGGAGCAGCATAAAAAGCTTGCACACAGGTTTCTCCTGTGTGGCCCACTAGTGGGATGGGATGGGATGGGATAGAGATGGGATGATTGTTTATACATCATTAGCGTTGGATGAGTGAAGCTCTCTCAGGGGGAAACTGTATCCCTGGGCTGGTGTTTGAGGCTCCAAATGAGTTGATTTGTTATCCTAACCTCTGACCAATTGTACTGCAGATAGAACTTACATTTTTGTTCACTATTGGTTGAATGATTTTCAGAGGAATTCTACTGGAGAACTCCACTCTCAAAGTCCTTCAGTATGCTTTAAAAGTGTTTTCCTGTCTTTGAGGAAAACTTTCTAAGGCTAAGTTCTGTTTTTATTTCAGTTGAAAATTATTTAGAAAATTAAATTTGTCCAATTTCTGTCACCTGTGCCCGCACACAAGAAATTGATACTAGATTGGTGAAGGATTATCCCAGATGGGCTTTAACTGAGTCATTATGTTGAAATTCAAAAGGCGTCACCATGACTTGTCAATCCTGCAGAAACCTACCCATTGGGAGGAATGATTATACCTGAGTTTAACCAAATACACATCAGTCAAAATGCAAATCAAATGTAAGTGCTTTATGCTGTTTGACACTGCAGTTTGACATTTTTCTATTTTTTATTTTATTTTTTTTTAAATGTACGAGGTAGAATTTATTGTCATTCTCTAATATACAATATTAAGTGTACAGGGGAACAAAATTCTGTCCACAAAAAATATTTTTCTTCTCACGAGGGCAGATTTAGTTAAAGTCAAACGTTTCAATTGAAGTACCAAATTAAAACTGAACAAGTAAGAAATATGTACAAGAGGATTACCAGGGTTAAAACGATTAAAAGAAAACTTTAGTTCCAGACCCTTCAAAAAGTGTTACTTATATTTAACTTATAGAAGGTGGAATTAATCAATTCTGAATCTTTAATGTCAAACTTAATATTCTGCAAATCACTGCAGAGATTAAGACCTGTTCCAATGTCTCACTAAGTGCGCTTAAGGGACTCAAAATGAATGAAAAGATCTCACAAGTGCTGGATAGTGCTGGCTGTCGGCCAAGTGTAATTTTGGCTGCCAAACTGACCAAATAAAACCCCACAGAATCAACTGCTCAGTACCAGTTCAGTTTCTCCTCTCCATGACTCTAAGGGAGGGTGAGGGGGAGTGATTAAAACGACTACCTGAAGAAAAAAGAAATGATAATACTGCTTCTGAATTTAAGAACAGATCATTAACAAAAGAAAGATTTGGCTTCCCACAAATTGTCCGCCCAGCCAAAGACCATTGTTCACTTTTTTTCAATGCACTTGTTATCAGGTGGCATTAGACAAGACTTAATATGCATTTGTGCAGTCATATTTAATGTGACAGGTGGTGAGTTGCCTGGTAAAATTTGGCATCAACTGATCAATTGATACTTGTGTAACACAGCCCCATACAAGCACACAAGATAGTTTTTTATGGTTAAGGGATTAACTTCAGTTTATTTTATTATTTTGAATTTGTATATCAAGCTCTTTGCATGTTGAAATGATGTTTGATCCTGTAACGTAGCTTAATGTCCCAAAAGGTCACAGTTACTAGGTTAGTTTATCATTCTTCACCATTTAATCCAATCCTTCTTCATCCCTCCAGGTGGATCAAGTTTGAGGAGAAGGTAGAGAAGGGAGGTGAACGCTGGAGTAAACCCCATGTGGCAACACTGTCCCTACATAGCCTTTTTGAACTGCGGACGTGCATAGAGAAAGGCACCATCATGCTGGACATGGAAGCTTCCACTCTGCCTCAGGTTGTTGGTAAGTTGGCTGCAGGTCACTAGTCAAGGAAGTGCTTTGACATCGTTACATGCAGTGAAAAATTATTAGATATTGGGTTTATTAAGCACACGATCTTTAAATTCATCAATTGCAGTTACATAAATTTGGGGGACCAATTAAAAATTGTCAATCTCCAAAACCCCTGGATCCTACACTTCCATAATGCAATACTTGACATGGTCATAATGTTTTCCTTTTCTCAACCAAGTGCTTTGAGGTGCCGACACATGACCATAACAACCTTAATGATGCTTTAATTGCCAAGAGCCGATATTTAATAGAAAATACATTTTACATTGTAATGTTTCGTTGTTAAGAAACAGTCTTTCCAGCATTACGTGATGTGATGTGAAATGACGTAGCCAATGTACATTTAGGTCCACCTTAATCTCATTTGCAGAAAACAGGGCTGGTATCCGACACAAAAACAGTCTAAAAGAATCAAATAACTGAAATATTTTATTATATTATTATTTTAATATTTTATTTAATTTCCATTGAATATCACAGTTGTACAAAGTATTTGTTACTATTTTAGTACATTTTAGTTATCTTTTAATGTGTATGTCTTTAATTTTTTTTTACTGTTACAATAAGATGACATTGATAAAGGTCAGCACCTTCCTGCCTGTGATAAAAGAACCCATCTGCCACTTTGATTTGATCTGCTCTGTGATGTACAGGACATTCAGAGCTGCTCTGCAGTGTTGCGTGCAGGTTTATGGATTGATGCAGATGAGGGCTCAGAGGTTTTCTTTCTTCTTCTTTCTTCTTTGCTTTAAGAGTAGCAAAAGGCCACCGCTCTGTCAAGTTCAGCCTATACTGTACTTAACTGCATCCTAGAACACCGAGGGACTCAAATAGTAGTTTGTAAATGGTCACACAAAAACTTCCTAATTTGAGGACAGCCAACCCTCTTCCTCTTTGTCTGCATGAGGGAGCAGGGGGAAGAGTTACCACTTGGAGTGATTAATGTGAAGTAATTGACTGTGCTGCATGGAGGGTACAGGCCGAGCTGAGCTGGGCCTCTTGCTTTGAGGCCAGCCGACTTGACTGATGGGCCATTAACAGCACTACCCCTCCACAAGAGGAGAATCTCCCCGAGGCTGCTATCTGTCAGCATTCAGGCTTCTGACCTTCTTTTTAAAAATAGGCTAGACCTTTTGATTGAGCCATTTCATGATGCCACGAAGACTTTCATAGAGAGGCATTACGGTCTGGGAGGCACTAATTGAATCCTTACAAGTATGAAGAGACTTTTTATGGTGCTTTGAGTATATGTATTGAGAGATGCTGCTTGTAACTTAAGGCTGTTGGATAAAATGCCACATGAAGTGAAGAAAAGACCCAAAAATTAAATAATGAACTGAAAGATCAGCTTAATTTAAATTTGGGGAATTTGTGCGCATATAACAAAACCTTTTTTTTAACTATTGAAAAATAATTTTTTGTCTCATTATGTTTCATGAATTCATTAAACAATTAGTTAAATTGTTTATGTTTGAGACTTTGAAGTTTTGCTTGATTTCCTTCAAATTTATGTCAATTTAAGTTGAATAAAGGTGTGTGTGTTCAAGTATTGGTCTGACAAAATAGTAAGACATCTCATTGGATTCTGGTTGTTGTTGTGTTTAATAATATAGCTTGTCATTTCTTAAATGCAGTGTGATTAAACACTTTTCTCCAGAAAAAAGAAATGGTCTTTCCTCACTCTCTTCCTTTGCTCCCTCCCCTTTGTCTGCATCTTTAGAACTGATCACTGACAACCAGATAGAGATCGGCCAGCTGAAAGCAGACCTGAAGGACAAAGTGATGTACACGTTGCTACGGAAACATCGTCACCAGACCAAAAAGTCCAACCTGCGCTCTCTGGCTGACATCGGCAAGACGGTCTCCAGTGCAAGTAGGCTGTTTTCCAACCAGGAAAACGGTAATACTGATGCCAGTTTGGTGCAGTCTTATGTTTTTTATTTAAATGATGTGAAGAAAAAACTAAATCTGCTGTCTGACTTTATAATAAATTTACATATACATACCCACATTACTAGGTTTTATTTAGATTTTTCACCTCAAGTTAGGACCTAAGGTGTCTATTGAGTTTTCAGGGCAGTGAGGAATGCCACAGTGTGCGATAAAGCACACACTGCTGCCCTCCTCTGCACGAACCCACTAATGTGGCACTCAGTAGTCCCAAATGAGTACCAGCTTCTGTTAAATAGAAGCTGAAAAAATATTTATTGGAGACCTTATCAGAAATTTTGTCCCTTATAGTATATTGACAAGGTGTTAACACAAAAAAACCCTTAGTATTACTGTTACTGTACTCCTACTACTTTCTCACTAAACCAGTGAAACTAAAGTTTGTAGATGTCTTTTTCTAAATCATCACAAACATTTGGTGTTATCACACTTAACAACACTTTTACTGTACTCACTATAGGCTACTGTACTAACTCACAGATGCTGCTTAAGACTTAAGTGTGTCAGGACATGTAAGAGTGGGTAGAGCTAATTTTAAATTGACTTCAGCTCTAAATTTTAACTTTGAAGAATTGAGTCAGAACATGAATTTATGACACTGGTGAGGAAAGTCCAGGGTCGTTAGAAATCATAAAGCTTGATCCAGTGTTTTGATATGATGTGACTAATAACTTGAGACAGTATCATTTACAACAGTTAAAATCTCTGAAGTTCCTGATGTGTGTTCATATAATTCTTACTACGTTCACTTCTAATTTTGTTGAAGTTGATGAAAATTCATGTTATTTGCAGCGGAATGTAACACTTTTATTCATCACCCAGGGCGGGCTGTCACTTTGCTTCACTGAAAGTTATCCCAGAAAAATTATTACATTAAGACATTCATGCAAAAAGTACAGAGAAGTAATAAAACTTGTCCAAATGTTTATAGTATTATAGTTGCTTTATAAAATGAATTTAACATCAGTCTGCTGGATTCTGCATGTAAAAATTAATTCTGTTGCAAAATCCTTTGTTAATGAAACTGAAATGAACAACTAAAGCACATTATCCTCAGGCAGCAGCACAGGGCTGCAAGTAAAAACCTCATAAACAGCAGCAAACAGAATATTTGATCAGCCTCTAAAACAGTGAGATTTCAAATAGCTTCAGGCATGAGCAAAGTGACTGCCCTAACACACACTAATGTCTAACTGATGTTTACAATGTGTGCAAGTGCTTTGATTGTAACACATTGAGTAACTAGATATTTCACCGTGTTTACAATGTAATTAATTTGTTACCAGTCATGGGTCTTTGGAAAGTGAAGTTATTTATTACCTGCTATTAGATTTATGAAACCGCTTCATGACTCTATAAAAGAAAAGCTCCCTCTGTTCAGGATCTGCTTCGTTGCAGTGTTCAAATGGAAACTCGTCATATAAAGGCCTGAGCTTCTTATCAAGATTGCATACTGAGATAAAGAGTTTCTGGAATAATCATTAATTGATCTCAACTTTGCAAGGATAAAGTACATCATCCAGTTCATTAAAACAGAATTTGAAGTGTCCCTGTCCAAAGACCCATGGTGTCCTGATTTAATGATGCAACTCCTCTTACCTCACAGTTTCTCTGCATAGCTTGTAGAAATACAGAAATCTTGTTTAACAGAGGTTTTAACAGCCACTTGATTTTGTTCTCCTAACAAATCTCTTGCTTTGGCTCAGTGGGCTTGTCTATCAACTCTCCTGCCGTCTCTCCCTTCTATCTCTCTTTCTTCCTTGTTTGCTTCCCTGGATTGGGTTTGATAACCTGCTGCTGCTACTAAAAGCTCGCAGTCCTCTTGAGAACTCTGTGACTTGCCTGTCGGGTCGCATATCAATGGAGGACTTGCAGTCCCAAAGGAGTACAAGCATGGACTGGCTTAGTAAGTTCACTGGATCCAGTCTACATTCACACTGCAAACCACTGATCAGTTCTGATTCGCTGCTCGTATCTGAGCTCATATTTGTTCTGTTAAAAATACTAAGTAGTTTGTGTGTTTGGCTTTTTCAGCTGTCTTCCATATTATAACACTAATTCAATATGCCAAGACACCAAAATTATATTTTTGACGTTAAATGTCAAACGCTTCAGTATCTCACTTCGACATATTCGATCCATGTGAAACTGGAAAATGTGACTGTGCAGCTTTTTGTTGTTGACACAGATTCGAAAACCTCATTTGTGTCTCGTGAGTGAAAACAGTCAGCTGCAGTTTGGATGTAAACACACCTGTCATTATACAGTAGAATTAATTTTTATGTGCTTTAGGCTATTTTCCCCAAAAAAACTTATAGCTATATGTGCCTAAGATTTTATATTTGATCCTTTATGTATTTTACGTTTAGTTATTCCCCCCCCATAATCACTACATATACTCTGTATAAATACTACAGTTCCATTATTTAAACTGGCTGCATCATACTGACAAGCATGTTATTACCCACAATGCTCAGGGGGCAGATGTATGAAAGGCTACAGTGGCATCAGGATTTGCACTAGCTGAGATTTGTACCTCTCTGGACATTGTCTCTTATCTCTGACAGCTCCAGTAGGAGTATGGTCACGTTCTGCTGTCAAATCTCTGATGCTGGAGTTGACAAGCTGAAACCAAAAGTCAGCAGAGCATCAATCAGAGTCTGCTGTCCACCTGCTTCACACGAGGAAAGCACTTAGTGGAAGATGTTGATGTGAAAGATGGACACTAGGATTATCAGATATTCTCAACAGTAAAGCTCTTGATCATTTTTAGTAAGGAGTAAGGATAGATTTTTTAAAAGTAAGTAAGCACTGCATTTGTCATCTTAGCTAATCCCCAACGACAAGCTTTGAGAGAAAGGTTCGAGGTTTGTTATTGTCATTTCCACATACAGAATACACAGGAACAAAATGTCGTTTTGGCGCTGTGTAGAGCATTAAATACTAGATTAAAAACGCTTTGTGGTAAATGGTTGAATGTGCACATTCAAAAGTCCAATAGATCCTGTTTTATGTTAAGAACTGGACTTTTAAAATGGCATGTTCTACCACAGTTGCTAGTGTTTTTAGTTTAAGTGGAGGCTGTACTCAGCATTGATCTTACATAACACTGATACTGTGGGTGCTTTACATTCGAATTAATTATTTCTGAGCCTGACTTTGAATAGGACAGCATTAGCATTATGTTGGTGTTTTCAGCTTGACTGCTTGATTATAAAGTAGTAAGGAATTTGTCCTCTGGTGTCCTCCAGCCTTTATTAACTAGATGAGTTAATGGTGACCAAAATCTCTATATATCTATGGTTTGCATGAAGATCGCTGTTGCTTTATTATTCTTTTTGGCGCTGCATGTGGAGCAAACTGTCTGGGCCACTGTTCTTTTCTTTGGGTCTCTGCCTCCTTTTCCATTCAGTTTTGAGATCCTGGTGAAGGTGAAGCTGGTCTAACTGTGCAAGGTTGATGTGTTTTAACAGATAGTCCCACCACCACTCACCGGAACCTGACCTCCAGCAGTCTGAACGACATTTCTGATAAACCAGAAAAAGACCAGGTGAGTCAACCAGATAATTTAATAGTGGAAATCTATTTTTGTTATCTTGATATTGCCCCTAAATGCTTTTTGCTGTAGTGTTTCACCGGTCAATCAAGTTCTGTGGAATATGAAGTTGATTGATTGTGATTCAACGACATGCTGCTGTAAATTTTAAATACAAGAGTAAGGGCCTGAAAAATCTCTTCAAGTATTATTGTAAAAGTCCGGTCCTGTGAGTATCAGATAAATTGGTAAATTGTTGAGATCATGACAGAGATCAAGTTTTAACTGAGCTAAACTCCTGTTACCAGTACCAATCAAATAGGGTTTTGGGCTCATTAAAAACTATTTGATTCAAGAGTTATAGATGTAAAATTAGGCTTGATTCAGTCACTGCATGGCCTTATGTTGACATTTCCAGCATATCTGGAATGGGTTTTTTATTTTCAGCCTGAAAATCTAAAAAGAAGTGGTGCATTAGTCCAGTCCTGTGTAGAAAAAGTGTCAGTTATTTATTTAAAAGCATTCTTGAAATTACGTTTGTCTCAAGCAAATGCCTTTCACGTCTAGCTTGACCTCAATAACAGAATTGCAGGCTGGCACTGTGAAGCTAACATGTTAGCCTGATGCAGCTTCGTCCTCTGCAGAACCAGTCAAAAACCAGTCAGAGCAGACTGTGGCTGCTGGTTCAGAGCAGAGATAACATTGTCTAAAGTACATTGTTCCAACCGCTGTCGTCATTACTCAGGCTGCTGCAGCTGCTTCAAACCTGCCGCAGCAAGTCTGTAAAACTATATTCAAGTTGCTTATGCAATATCTCCACTCAGCTTAGCATTTTATTGATAGTCTGTAGAAAAATCTGCATAAACTTCTCCTTTGATGGTCATTGTGGAGGTTTTATAGCAAGAAGGGGCTGCTGCGAGTATGACGCTTAGGCCAAGAATCTTTGGTACAATGAATAACAGAACATAAGAGAGAGAAAAGAAAATCAATGATTAAGTTACACACCCAAACATGCTTGTCGTCTTTCAGTGCACTTTCACTACAACTTTACGATACACACTGCATCTTAGATTATCTGTCACACCCAGAGGAGGTATAAGGTTTTTTATGAATGAATTTCATTTCTCATTATCATATCTTATTTGTCCTGCTTGTTGGCCCTTGCAATAGTTACATTCCAACATGTGTGAGTGGGTCAGAGAGAACACTGTATAAATTGAATTGGACAGGTTGGTCACAGGAATTTGTTGGATCAGTGCTGTATTGATAACCAGTGTTTGTTTTAAACCAATTTAACCCTTGATTCCTATTTCATTTTTTGATCTGAGTGGATTCATGGCTGAAAATTAGATTAGCAACAAAACAAATTTATAGTTCACTTTCCTTTGCATAAAGTTACTTTTGTTGCAGCAAATGACTGCAAACTAGTCCTTTTGCCTGGTTGTTTTTCAGACTGGTTACATCATACTGTAAGCTTCATTGATTCTGATAGTGGGGTAGTTAGATTACAGCCCCACAGTTCACAGCAGCCATTTGTTCATATGGTCTGATCCCAGACCAGGCCTCTGGGACAAGAGAATTAGTTCAGACGATCCAGTAAGTCCTCCTGTGGGACAGATAGAGTAGGAAAGAGACAACTGGACAGGAAGCACATCTCCTAAACTGAAGCTCTTCCACACCCACTCAGCCTATAAATACCATTCAGAGGTTTCCTCTGTGTATTTCCACCTTGCCACATGTCTGATAACTTGGTGCTTAATGGTGGAGTCAGAGATAGAGACAAGAGCAGATTCACATTCAAAGACTAGAGTAAAATTAGATGAAAAGCTGATTTATGTGTTAAATGTGCTGGCTTGGCTCATTCACGGTGTGATTGGACTGTCAACAAGGGCAACATTGTGTCACATAGTTTAAAAACAACACGGTTGTATTAGATCAAATCTAACTTGAAGGTTGAAATAATGTCACCTATTGTCAGTTTTTCTAACCTAATTAGGAAGTCTTTTTAATGGATTTATTTTACTCAGTGCTACAGTGGCTTTGACTTCAAACAGTTAGTTTATTCAGACATACACAAATATTTTATCAGATACCTCTTCTGGTTTTTAGCCAGGCAGATAGTTTAGAATGGAATTTAGTTTGTGGTGCTCAAAAAACTTGAAACAGCAACATCTTCTAGAAATAATGTCCAATAATCCACAGTTTTCCTTGGAACTACTTTTTACCAAATAAATAATCCCTGGCTTTGAATACCCAAGAGTTTTACATCTCAGCTGTGCAGAGCCACCAAACAGAAAGAAACAAGTAGGTTTCATGTCTGAGATAATTTAATGTGTGCCTCATGCCAGTTCAGAATCAAATAGGACAGAAACAGATTCAAGTGAACCTAGTTCATGAGGGCAGTGTGGTGTGGATTAGCAGCGAGTGGACAGGGTGTGCGGGTACACAGGTTAAACCTCTCGACTCAATCATTTACTGACAAACCTATTGCCAAGACAGCTCAACAGCCTGTGATTGGATCTCACCAGTGGAAGGTCATCAGTGGTTGATGGCAGCGATCCTGTCAGTACATGACCGGGGTATGGCGGGCATGATGACGAGTGATAGACAGCTTGTCTCTTTTTTAAAATATTTTTTACCCTTGTTATATTTGCTGTTTTTTATTTCCTATAAATTCCCGGTCTATATTTTTTAAATCTTTTTATGTTGTATGTTAATTACTAGCAGCTTCAGTCTGATTGGGGGAAATGTCTCTCTTGTTTGTGATTTAATCCAATTAAAATCCTGGCAGAGCTAATTTTAAAACCACATTAACAACATCCGATACTCTTCCCTCAGCTTGGTATCTTGAAACTTATCAGACAGTTCTCCCTTGAAATCATCTTAGGTGTACATTGTTTAAAAAAAAGAAATGATGTAGTACATAAACAATGTTGAAAAAACCTAAGCTTACAAAGCCACACTAATGATGAAGTCAGAACTGAAGTAAAACTGTGGGCCAACTGTCTTTACCACCTAGCTCTCATTGTATGGAAGAAATATAGAAATTACAGCCTGATAAATAAAGACGATATCAAAGTGTCTCAATGGGGTAGAGGCGAGGTTCTAAAGATTTTTATTTTAAATTAATATATTGTATTCAGGTTTGTTCGATGAAAAGAACTGGACTGTAACTGGATGGTTTCTTTAATCTGTCATATCATGTAAGAAAATCCATTGTGATTGTTCATGTGATTGTTTAAGCATGGAGTGTACCAGTGGCGAATGAATAGATGTGTTTTTTATCATAAATTATAACATTTAGATTAAGTTTGAATTTAAAAATAGTGAATTTACCATTTAGAAGTAGATTGCTGAAATATTGCATATATGCTGACCATAATAATTGACTGAATGGGCCAGTGAAGCCTGTCTAGACAACAGATCTTCAATTGCATCGTATTTACTGGTTGTTTGCAGAAACAAATTTTGCATTGAGAAAGTGATGATGATAATTTTAGGGGAACAATTACTGCATTGAGTAGTTGTTTTAAGATGATTATAAATTCAGAGCAGCAAACAGTTGATGGGTTGGTGTTAAATTGCTGTAGTTGTTGTTAATGGTTTGTGAGTTGAAAGAATTAAGTAGTGCACATGTAATTTAAACCTTTATGAAATTCAAACAGTCTGTAACTGGGGTTAATTGATCAGTAAATTCAGAAAACTGAGCTGAAACTTAAAGAGTTTTATGTGAAGAGATGTTGATGAAAAGAGTATAATTCAAAGTGACTTTGGTATAAAAAATAACTTTTATGAACTGCCGCTGGCTGTCTTGGTAAATGTTTCCTGCCTGCTCTCTGCTGTTTTCAAGTTAATATATTACACAGTAGTTTTCCATCACACTCTTATCTAGATGTTTATGATTTATTGTCTTTAAAGTTTTATTTATTAATGATCTCAATCTGATCATAAGCATGCCACCTTTTTATCATAGGAAACGTCTTATGAAGCAAATATGACTGTGGCATGAAACGTACTGTGATTTGAAGCTTGTGCTAACAGCTCCTGGATTAAAAACATAGAAAAGTGGTAGACTTTGTTGTTCGACCCAAGGGGCATGAATTGGCTGTAAGACAAAGTGCAAATTTGGTGCTCAAAATTGCAAGAGTGCTTCTGTCTTCCCAGTCCAATTCTTATTGCAAACACAAGCATAAAGAGCTCATTACTTTGTAATTCACAGGCTTTTTTTTAAAACATTTTAAAAAAACACTGCTATGTTTCTTTCAATAGTGATGTCAGCTTCAGGGAGCTGTGGGTAAAATACTACCTGCTCTTTAGTAAATAATCCAACACTACAGCTAATTCTTTAGATTCATATTTACACTGCACAGCTGCAAGATTTCAAAGTGTAAAACTAATAATAACCCTAACAAGAACTGTGACTGACAGTTCCTCACAGACACAATCGCAAGACTTGAATGTTCTTTGGAGGTAAAATGTTGAACCTGTGGAGCTCAGTAGGTGTCTGACCTCCATCTTCATACGTCTCACCATCGCCATGACAGGAAGAAATATAGCCTCATTTAGATACCATGGGCGCCTCCAGGTTTGGTATTTAAGCTGAATGGGATTGTCCTCTTTGAAATAGGTTGTTTAATTCGGTGCGCACTGTATTAGGTAGCTTGCTGGTGTGAACATAACATTTAACGTCTCCTCCTGTTCTTCTCTTTTGTGCTTTTTAGCTGAGAAACAAGTTCATGAAGAAGTTGCCGAGAGACGCCGAGGCCTCCAATGTGCTGGTGGGGGAGGTGGACTTCCTGGACGCGCCATTTGTGGCGTTTGTTCGTCTGCAGCAAGCTGTGATGCTCGGAGCCCTGACAGAGGTTCCTGTTCCCACAAGGTGGTTCAGATTCATGTCTAGCTCCTAGCTTCTAGCTTGTATTTATAATGCAGGAAGATGCGTGTGGACACAATAAAAGTACTAAATATTGTCAGGTATTAATTTTCCCTGTGTTCACCTTAAATTGTAAAGAAATCCAATACAGCATCGTGTCCACCTTCTTTTAATTTTTCTTTTAACCTTTTTTTTTATGAGTGTCATAAAGCAACAGGAAACTGCACTGTTGTAGTGTTGTTGTAACCAAAGAGTCATAAAGCAATTTTATATTCTGTGGTACTTGGAAGGTGTTCCAGTTCTGATGAACTAGTAAATGTTCACTATGGAATCTAATGCGTCACTGTTATATAGATTTTATTTGAATAGATGGGCGGTATATGCAGAAGCCTCCCTGCAGTCAGAACAAAACATGTCTTTAGAGTAAATACGTCTGCAGCATAGCCAGCTGTGAATAACACAGCTGCTTTCTTATAAAGTAAAGATGCTGTAAACATTAATTGTTCACATTACCAAACCAGACACCTGAACAGATGTAAATATGAAAAGGGTGCTAATAATAAAAACTGTGAACTGTATTTTATGCAGTAGCAATTATGTTATCTCTTTTTATACGCTTCTTCAATTCAAAAGTTTATCTGAAATGTACTGACAAACAAGGTTATTTATTCAAATGATTTTTGTTCCTCGTGCAGATTTTTGTTTATCTTGCTTGGACCCAAAGGCAAAGCCAAATCGTACCATGAGATTGGCAGAGCGATCGCCACGCTGATGTCAGATGAGGTTGGACTGCCATTAACACTCATCATCTGTGTTCTATTTTAATGCTGACAAGTGAAACTCTGCTACACACGTTAAAATGAGATCTTTCATGTAACGCATGCATATAACATATACATATAATTTTCACTCACAACACACACTTTTGTTGCACAACACATTATATATTGATATACATATTGATAAACTGCATCTCTGTCTCTCTCCAGAGTGATCAGACCTACATTGCTTCATTGATGCATTTCTACCTGAATATTGTGCTGTGCTTTTGGTCTCACTCTTTAACCCAAATATGAATCCTCAGATCCGATATTACAGTTGGCTGCCTGCTGACAACACAGCATGCTGTGATAGTTCTCTTTCACACCTGAATGCCTCATCCCTCTCTGTCTCTATTCAGGTCTTTCATGACATTGCGTATAAGGCCAAGGACAGACAAGACCTGCTGGCTGGTATCGATGAGTTCCTGGATGAGGTGATCGTGCTTCCTCCTGGAGAGTGGGACCCGGCCATCAGGATAGAGCCTCCAAAATCCCTCCCCTCCTCTGACAAAAGGTCTGTAAAATTTTAAAGTAGTAGTAGTAGACTACATGAGCAAACATACAGAACTTAATTTGTGTCTCCATATTATACATACCATACTCCATACTACTACTCCTTCCAGCAGCTTCCTAATGAAAAAATGATTTCACTTTCTGTTAGGGATGCACCAATACCGATACTAGTGTCAGTGCTAATGTACTCATAATAAAATAGTGGAGCAGGTAGGTGAAGGAGAAGCAATGTCAGGAGTGTATATATATATATTTTTTAAACACTATTTATTTAGTTTAGTTTTTTAATGTTAACCATACAGTGTAAGACAATCTACTCAGAAGTAAAAAAGTATCAAATACACTAAAGCACTCTCTTGCATTAAACATTTAAGAACCCTCAGGTCTGCGACTGTTCTGAATGCTGCGTGTGCAGTCTCTACATTATGTTATAGATGTGCAGCACTTGCAAAATCACTGAAGTGCGTCCAGGTGTACAGCACAATGTTCAATTATGAAAGAGGTTTTATTTAAAGCTGCAGTTTTACTCAGTAAAGCAGGAACCTTTCAGCTGTTTATATGAGCGCTGATCAGTGAAGTTATTTAATCATGTAACGCATAATCTGGTTGACAACACAAGAAAAGACACCACGACAACATGCTTACACTTAAAGCTTTATTTTCATGGCAGTGTGTCAACATCAGTAGATATTTCAGATATTCAAATATATGAACTGCGTCAGATAACTGTTAATCAGAAAACTGTATGTATTTTAGGAAAAACATGTATGCAGGAGGCGACTCTCAGATGAATGGAGATATGCCTCACGATGAAGGTCACGGAGGAGGGGGACACGCTGTAGGGGATGAGCTGAAGAAGACTGGAAGGTATGGCGTCATAGACAAAACCAAATCATTTTACATAATATTTTTTATATGAGAATGAATAACTATATTCATGTGCCTACAAACCTAAAACTGGATACAAAGTTTTAGCCTTGTACATATCCAGAGAAGGACTTTGTGTTTATTACGGTGATCTGATACAGTTTTGTATATGTTATGTTTGGTAAACAAAAATGTGTCATATGTTGTAGTTATGTGTCTGCATACTGTTACTCTAAATACATATTCAAAATGTTATTTGTTCTACTTTGTATTCCATATTGTGGAAAACAGCACATCTTTTGTCTCTGTTTGTTTCATCTCTGTTTTCAGGTTTTGTGGGGGTCTCTTACTTGACATCAAAAGAAAAGCGCCTTTCTTTGTCAGTGACTTCACCGATGCATTTCACATTCAGGCCTTGTCGGCCATTTTGTTTATTTACCTGGGAACTGTGACGAACGCCATCACCTTTGGTGGTCTGCTGGGGGATGCTACAGACAACATGCAGGTCCAACTGAGATTTTGACTTTTTAACAGTTCGTCAAGGGTTTCCCATTCATGTTCTGAATTGTTCACTAACTGTCCCCTTCCACATGTGCAGGGTGTGTTGGAGAGTTTTCTAGGCACAGCGATCACTGGCGGGGTATTCTGTTTGCTGGCTGGCCAGCCTCTCACCATCCTCAGCAGCACTGGTCCTGTTCTGGTGTTTGAAAGGCTGCTCTTCAATTTCAGTAGGTATGTTTGCCAGAGGCCCGGTTACTAATCATACATCAGCTTGAGAGCTTGAAAAGTACTTTATTATCACACCAAACTTCAATTGGTGAGACATGCCAAACATGCTTTTATAAATCTTCCCAAAATATTTGAACCAATTACATTCAAGCTAAAATAACTCGGGTTATTTTGGCAAAAGAAAAACAGAAATTTGACATATTTTAAGTCTGTTCACATCTTTAAAATAAAAATATTTTGAGAAAACAAAGTTGTATCATTTCAAGATTTTAATAAAGCAGGGGACACCAGTCTGTCAGCTTTCTTGTGTCAAATGGGGCATTTGATATTCTGCCTTTACTCTTGAAACATTATACAATTTTCTTAAAAACATTTACTTTGTTCTCAGAAAATTCTTCTTATCCTTGCTTAAAATATAATGAAAACTAGACCTAATAGTCATATCAAATCATGTAAAACATCAAATACATTTTACTGACTGTTTTTCTATATTTGTTTTGTGGTTTTTTAATACAGAGATAATGACTTTGACTACCTGGAGTTCCGCCTGTGGATCGGCCTGTGGTCGGCGTTCTTCTGCCTGGTGCTCGTGGCCACTGACGCCAGCTTCTTGGTTCAGTACTTCACCCGGTTCACTGAGGAGGGCTTCTCCTGTCTCATCAGCTTCATCTTCATCTATGATGCCTTCAAGAAGATGCTAAAATTAGCTCATCACTATCCCATCAACTCTGACTTTAAGATGGAATATATCACACAGTATGAATGCCTCTGTATGGCCCCTGCTGTTCTGGGTGAGATGTTGTTTAACTCTGAGGCACTTAGCTGACATTGACGTGTGTATGTCTTTTACCCATGCGTGCCGAAAAGACGCATGGATATTGATTAACCTACTGGCTCGGGCGCCCAGTTAGCTCAGTCGGTAGAGCTGGCGACCCATGTACGGAGTTCCTGCAGCGGCCGGGGTTTGAATCC